GTGCATTCTGATGCCCTAAAGACAGCCCCTACCAATAAGAATCCTCCCCATACTCAGGGCATAGGACCATCCAATCATTTTAAAGGATGCTTGGTGTGTGCCGGTTTCTGTGAAACTTCCCTATAAAAACCTACCCCACCCTAGATCGGGGCTCTCAGTACAGATCCGCTGCGTCGGTGAAATCTGAGGGCCCAAGCTTAAGCTGTTGCATACACTCCAGACTCCTTGGTGGTCATTGGGGGTCACGAGATCTGGGCATAACACTACCATATGATCCAGCAGTCCATTACTTTACCAAATCCAAAAGATATGCAATTTGTTAAGAGGCTTCTGTGCTTCTATGTTCAGTGCAGCACTATTCACAATAGCAAAGAAACAGAAACTTAAGTTGTCCATCAACTGATAAATGGATGAAGACAATGGGGTACACGTACACAGCTGAATACTATTCAACCACAAAAAGAATAAAATCCTGCTGAGTTTGACCACATAGATGGAACTGAAGGTCATTATGTGAAGTAAGCCGGACACAGATAAGCATGATCTTTCTTACATGTGGGATCTAAAAACATTGATCTCATAGAAGTTCAGAGTAGAATAGTAGTTACCAGAAAACAGGGAAAAGAGTGGGGAGGGACGGAAAAGTGTCATCAGTTGGCACTAAGTTATAGTTAGATAAAAGAAGTTCTAGGGTGCTGCTGCATGTTGGAGTGACTAAAGATACTAATGTACTATACATTTCAGATAGCTAAAAAGAGTTTCAGTTTTCACATAAGGAAATGTAACTGTTTGAGGAGATAAATGTGTTTGACCTAATTTAAACTTCATACACTGTCTACAAAGTATGAAAACATTATACAGTCCCCTAGTACAATTTGTTTTTTACAGTCCTAGGGATGATACTCAGAGCCTAGTGTGTGCCAGGCAAGCAGTTTATTACTGAGTTACAAGTCCATCCCAATTTTAATGTTATCACTTAAAAAATGAATTTAGGAAGACTTCTAGGAAGTCTTCCTGGAAGAAGCAGACTAGAAGTCACATTGGAAGGAAACAAAGGGAACAGGAATATTTTATCACTCCATCAGCTATTTCTCCAGTCCCAGAATTGACCTGATGCATGCCACAACAAATTTCTCCTACCATTGAGTCCATAAACTTTCTCAACCACTGGACTGGACTTGCTACTTCAACTGCAACCAATGCAGCCACCACCATTGCTGTTTCAGTCCAGCAACCTGGGTTAAAGACTCCCACTAAGAATTTACAAGATTCACCAGTAGGGGTTTTTATAGAGGGTTCCCAACAAGTGCTGCCTGGCTCACCATAAGAACGCCAATGTGGAAAGGGAAAGCTGCGGGAACATACTGGTTAGGTTTTATTGTCAACCTGATACAAAGAGTCACCTGAGAAAAGGGAACCTCAATTGAGGAACTTCCTCCATCCAGGAAATCTGAATTGTAAGTCAAGCCAGGCTTGGTGGCGATTGCCTGTAGTCCCAGCACTTGGGAGGCAGAGGCAGGTGGATCTCTGTGAGTTTAAGGCCAGCCTGGTCTACATATTGAGTTCCAGGACAGCTGGGGCTACAGGGAGACCCTGCTTCAAATAGAAGAAAAAAAAAAAGAAATTTAAGTAAAAAAAAATCTTTTCTCATCGTGTTTTATCACAGTAACAGAGTAAACTATAACAATGATGTAAGCCTAGCTCCAAACAGTGCTTTGGGCACTACAGGGCCAGCAGCAGCTCCAGACCCTGTGGGAACGCAGCAACCATGACTGGGGAAGAGTTTTCTTGGCTAGTCACAGCCCATATAACGACTCCACACTTAATGGGAAGTAGGCACCCACAAGAGAAGAATGGGACTGGTAAAAAATCAACTTGGAAGTTTAGCCCAGACCAGGATCAAGAAGACAAAGCAGTGTATCCTCTAAGATGAAATCACTCATGCCAATGACCTCATTTTCTTATATATCCACCCAGCTCTCCTCCCCGACTCCCCATGGCCATTTCTTATCTTTATGGTACAGGTCAATGTAGAAGGTCGTTGTTCCCTACTTCTACATTTGTCTCCCCCTCCTTCCCTGTCTCCTTCCCTCCCTCCCTCTCCACTCTCCCCCTTCTCCATTTTTTCTTCCTTTCTCTTTTCCAGTACCCATTCTTCTTACTCCTACTTCTCCCAAAGCCCAGAAGCTGACCTGGTTTACAACTGGGTACATATCTTTATCCCTCTTTTTAGTCTACCGTTAACCAAAACTCTCACATATCCACCCCATTTTCACCTTTTTCCCCTATAAATCCCCACTCCAATATATATCCCTCTCCTCTACTTCCTAACAACTAATACATCAGTTTCAACGTGACTGCCCATATATTTTCTTTTCCTTTCCACTCATACAATAACTAACACATTAGCAGATACAGTACTATCAGGGTCCCTTTACTCCCTAAATCAATTGGTACTTAATAAGTATCTGTTTTGTAAACAGCTGCTACTCTATTATCAGAGTAGGTTAACTATTGGATAGTGACTGTTGCTGCAGACAGTACTTCAACCCACAGGCGCAGACTGGAAGTACAGTCTGATGCCTAGAACACCAGTCTAACAGATGAAAACATCAGAATTGTACAACTCAGTCTTTCCTGAACACAGAAAACACATCTATTGAAAGAAGAGAGGCAGCCTGAACCTTTTTTTCTAAAAGGAAGAGTTTATTTAGTTTATGGTTCCAAGGGGCAAGAGTCCATTATGGCAGGGAGGCATGGCAGCAGAGATGGCTGGAGGAGGGGCAGAAGATAAGTCTCACATCTTCAAGCAGGCACAGGAAGAAAGCAACTCAAGATCCAGCAGGGCTTAAGAATTCTTTAAGCCTACTCCCAGTGACATGCTTCTTCCAGCATGGCCACACCTTCTAAGACCTCCCAAAACAGTGCCCTTAACTGGGGCTCCCTTAACTTGGAGCCTATGGGGGACACTCTCATTCAATCCATCACATTCCACTTCCTGGCCATACACTCATGACCATATAAAATGCAAAATGCATTTAATCCAACCTTAAAAGTCCCCATAGTCTTTACCAGTCTCAAAACTATTCTAAAGTCCATACTCCAAAGTCTATTTTGAGACTCAGGGCAATATCTTAAGTGTAAGCCCCTGTAAAACCAAGACAAATTACATACTCCCAACATACAGTGGAACTGAATACACAGTTACATTCCAAAAGGAAGGAATAGAGACACTGTGAGGAAATACTGGACCATAACAACCTGAAAACTAGCCAAGCAAACACCAAATCCAGTTGCTCCAAGTCTGACTTCAGAGACTTTACTTCCACAGGGCTTAGATGGCTCAGCCTCTCCAGCTTTGCTGTGTGAAACATACATCTCTCTCTTGGGCTGGTACCACCCCCTGTATGCAGTTCTTGGCAGATGTTTCAAAGCTCTGGCACCATGAACATCTTCTTGGGGTCTCCTCTGCCAACCAGGCTTCACCTTCACAGCTTCATGCATGGTCTATCAGGGCTTTCTTTATGCAGGGATGCCCCTGCTGCATGCTGCCTGGCCTCAGAGGCTCTCTGACACCCCAGAGGAAGAACCAATGACCCTTTCACTCTTGTATCTTTCATGCTTCTAAACCAACACCAGGTGAATGTGTCAACACTGCCAAGTTTGGCTGCAAGTTTGGGGTGGACCCCAGTCTGCTTCAACCACTTTAGGAACTTTTCTCTTCAGCGCTTTTCTAGTAGAAATCCCCTGCAGCATTTTCCTTTGTAAATTGGAGGATTAACTGGGTATGGTCTTGCCTTGAGGCATTCTCTCCACTGTTGAAGTGCAAATCTCTAGGCCTCTCCTTAATAATTTTAAACTCCTTATCAAAGGGATCCTCTCCTTAAGCACATGCCTTGGCTCCAACATAAATCTTTCTAGTGCTTTTTTTCAATCCAGACTGTACATTCTGCATTTCTTTCTGTCCCATTTTCTCTTTTTCATTATAGATATGCATAATATTCACCATTAATAGCCACACCACCATTTCTACATTAGGCTGCCTTGAAACAGCCTCCACCAAAGAAATTAGTCCATTGCTTTTCAACTTAGCCTCAGGCAAGCTGGGCAGACTCCAGCCAGACTCTGCAATACCCTAACTGCTGTTTAAATCCTATTTCCCTTTGGAACTACATTGTTCTGAGCAGTACTTTCTTCCAGGCATCTACTAGAAGGACCTGTTAAGCTCTGCTTATAGCAATCAACCCAAACTTTCTAACCCAAACTTCCACATTCCTCCAAAACCCACATGGTTAGGTTCTTCACAGCCAACAGCCCACTCTCTGGTACCAAACACTGTTTTAGTTACTTTTCTGTTGCTCTGATAAAAACACTGACCTATAATAATTAGGCGAGCTCCAAGGCAATGGAAACCCTCTCTCAAAGTGGGCAACATTCCTGAGGAAGGAAACCTGAGGCTGCCCTCTGGCCCCCACGTGTGTCCATACACATGTACACATACACACGTGCACACACACACATAGCAAAAACTAATTTCAAACTTTAAAATAGTAAATAAGTGATATTTGAGGAAAAATAACCTACTTTATGACACCACTTATCCAAATAATAAGTGCCCCTCCTGATTAATCCCAGAAAGCCAGAGCTATCCTTGGACAGTCCTAAATTATATTATGGAGATGTTTATATATCTAAACTTCTCACAAACTATGGGTCCCTAAGTGCAAAGACCATGTTTTAATTTATCTTTATACTACCAGAACTGGATACAAAGTAGATGCCAATCATTTGTTATAAGCATTAACCATTTTCACCACCAATCAACGTACTAAAAATCAATATAGAACTTCCATTAACAGTCTAATTACTTAATTCCATAAGAGCAAACAGAAATGTCTTCCATAACAAGTTCACCAAAATTCCAAAGTATATGGACAATTTTTAGGTATAACCAAACATCTTTATTTTTCACAACTAAAATCCAAAGATGCAATCCAACTAGTTCCAGATGATTTACAAACATTTTGTCTACTAAGCAAACTAAACATTTTTAAAGAACATGTGCAATAATAGAGTGCTATCTATCAATCAAGGTTGGCTTCAGCATTTCTTGTCTTTTCTTTATCTAAGTTCTCCATCTTTAATTCACCTTCTTTGTTATACTGAGTATATTCAATCTCTTTTTCTGAGTTTGGAATTGATTTCCCCTTTGGTAGCAAGAAACATTCAGCATTCAAAACTTGTTCAGCAGTCATCGAACTTCTAAAATATATCAAGCTACAGAGGAGGGATTTGACATTATCATCCTGCATGGAAAAAGAAGCATTTAAATGAGAATCAAAATCAAAACAAATGAAAAGAGAACAAACCTGTAATGATAGAGGCTCCAATTTTAAAACTCCTTTAGTTGCTGACATAAGCTAAAGTTGAAGTTTTCTATCAAGTAATTTTTTAAAAATTCTATGTGTATGGATGGGTGTTTTGCCTGCATGTGTGTAAGGGCACCTGTGTTGTGCAATGCCTGCAGAGGTCAGAAGAGGGTGTCAGATTCCCCTGGAACTAAAGTTAAGGACAACTGTTAGCTGCCATGTGGGTGCTGGGAATCAAACCTGTGTCCTCTGCAAGAGGAGTCAGTTCTCCTAAGTGTGGAGCCATCCCTCCAGCTCAAAGTTTCCTATCAAAATTTTTGAAGATCACAAGGGGCTGAAAAGACAGTTCAGTGGTTAAGAGCACTGGTTGCTCTTGCAGAGGACTTGGGTTCTGTTCCCAGCACCCACATGGAGGCTAACAACAGTCCTAACTCCAATTCCAGAGAAATACAACATCCCTTTCTGACTTCCTTGGGCATTCCATGACATAAAAATATATGACACACATAAAAATAATAAATATATATATTTTTTAAGATTTCTACCAAGTTTGGCTACATTGAAAAGGATTATCTCTAGCAAAAAACAACAAAACTGATATATAAGGAAAAAGTGTAAAAACAAAGAGAATCCAGCTGAAATAAAACAAGTGTAATTTGAACAAAGGAAATTTTCTTACTTCCCCTTTTCCTTCTTTTATGGCACACTGGTGGGAGTTTCACATGAAAGTTCATATCACTTCCATCCAACATTGTACCAGATTCCAGCCAACTTGGGCAGGAACAATAAATAAAAGGCTGAAATTCAGACTGAAAGAGCAAAAAAGTAAAACTACCTCTGTTTGCAAATGGTACATGGATAGATTAAAGCACTAAGAAATCCACTACAAATTATTAGAGATAATATTTTAAAATAAATTTAACAGGGGCTGGAGAGATGACTCCATGGTTAAGAGCACTGGCTGCTCTTGCAGGACACCCAGGTTCAATTCCCAGCACCCACATGGCAGCTAACAACCGTCTGTAACTCCAGTTCCCGTGGAATCCAACACCCTCATGTGATCACAAGGATCTTAATAAGGCAATATTCTACAGCTCACAAGCACTTGTAATGCCAGTTCCAGGAAAATTCAATGCTCTCTTCTGTGTTCTGCAGGCACTTCACACATGTGGTACACTTACGTACATGCAAGGCATTCATACACATAAAATTCTTTTTCGAAAATTAATAAAATTAAATTGTTGCCAAACCATGATTTAAAAAAAAAAGCCTTCAACTGTAAAATACCTCTCAATTTTAGTCATATTAAATTGTTCAAAATAATTTTAAAAATCTTTCTATATACCTAAAGGACTCTAGGTCAACACACCACAGAGAAACTTGCACATTTATGTTTATAGCTTCACTACTCACAATAGCAGGAAATTATTCCTACTATCAGATGAATGAATAAAGAAGATGTGGTATACATACATAATGAAATTTTATGTAGTCATAAAAAATGAAATTATGGTAACTGTTAAGAAAATGAATGCAACTGGAAATCATTAAAATAAGCCAGACTCAGAAAGATAAATACCACATTTTCTCTCTTATACACAGAACCTAAACTTCTATAAGTGGATTTATAGGTCACAAACTGCAAAAGTGATGAGAGGAGTAAGAAGTCTTAGGGAGGTGGAAAGTTGGGAGGGTAGTGGAATACATGTAACAGGAAAACAGAAAAGGAAGACTAACTGGAAGAAAGGGAAACAGCAGCAGAGGGAGGGGGCAAATAGGAGGCTAGTGGGGAAGAGGAAGAAATAAGAATAATGTGCAATGACACATATGCATGAAGACTCCATGATGAAATCCATTACTTTATATTCTAACCTATTAACTTAAAATTATTTACATAAAAATTTAAACTACATTAGTAAAATAATAATAAAGGCCTAAATCAATAGAGGTATTATTTTCCCTGACCACAATTATAGTCTATCATTAAGATAGCAATTCTCCCTCAAACTAACCTATATACTCAACATAATCATAAGTCCCATGGCACTGCACACATACACAGCAAGTTCTCTCTTTTGGTGCAGTAGGGGCACTTTTATCATGGGGGAAACCAACAGCTGTCTAATTGGACTTAAGGCCCATTCATGCATGGTACTATGAACAGAGTCAAGTACACATGACTGGAGAGGTCATAAATCTTAAAGAAAAACCTACTTTCTGTCACTTCTTTAGTAATTTCTTCTTATAGCCTATACAGACTAAGTGTGTCTCTCCCCACTCATCAAAGAAGCTTCTTTTTGAAACAGATGGAGACTATTACAAAGTTCCACAATTGGTCAAATGCAGAGAACAAGAGACTGAGGTGCCCATTTCTAAGTGACATATCTACAATACAATCTCACACCCAAGCCTCAGGAAAGATGACAGAGGAGGAGTCAGAAAGAATGTAAAAGCCAGAAGGACAAGATACTTGCTTCTAGTTAACATACTCTAGACATGACAGGAAAGCTCCACCAATGAATTCTCCATAGCATGGTAGTCTAATGAGATCTGCACAATGATAAAACCTGTTGACAAGCCAAAATGGATGGAACAGGGGTGTTATGGGGTCCGACCTCAAGATGAAGAGCTATAGGCAATCAATGGATGCTGAGGGAGGGAGGATCAGTTTTCTCCAGGGACTAGCTCCCTGAGAGGGTCTCCAATTCCCAATGGACAGCCCTAAACACAGGTACACATAAGCACCACTAAATGGACTCTGTGTGTGTGTTCTTTTGGTGTGTGTGTGTGTAAATATATGTATATGTAAAAATAATAAAGAAAGCGACAAGAAATTGAGGAGGATTGGGGGAACGGGAATAGTGGGTGGGAGACTGGGAGGAAAGGAAGTAACACGAAGACCACACTTCTGTCTGAAATTCTCAAAAATAAAAAAATGTTTGCTGAAAACATATATTCAAGATAACACAATCTCACTGACATAAATGAATTTAAAAGAAAAAAATATAATTAGGTGTTTACAACACACTTCTGTCTGAAATTCTCAAAAATAAAAAAATGCTGAAAACATATATTCAAGATAACACAATCTCATTGACATAAATGAATTTAAAAGAAAAGATATAATTAGGTGTTTACAACAAACTAAGCATAGAACATTAGTTTCAAAACCATGTAACCTTGGAATATACTATAAACACTGTATTTTATTATTACAGAGATAACTTATCTAGCAGTGGCATAAGTAGGTATTGGAATATTTTTCAGTACTTCTTTATTTCTAATGCTTATTTGAATTCTTGTAAAACTTAGAGAATGTTTTCAGTCAAATACTTCAATTTGTGTTTTTGTATATTTCAAATGAGTACATGAAAAAAGAAGCATACCAAATGAAACTGATCCACTTTGGGGATTCCATCTTCATTTGTGTCAAACTCCTGGTTTTGAACAGAGAGCTGTAAAAGAGAAAAAGAATGAATAGCTCCCAATGTATCAAAATGTTAATCTTACAGAAGAGTCAAATCTGGACCTCTTGCTTCAGGTAAATTCAATCTGTAGCCCACAGGCTGCATGCATTCCAGGAAAACCAGGAATGCAGTCCAACACATTTGTAGATTACACATCATCCCACAATGTCAAAAGTTTGCACACCCATAGATCCTAGTGAACAGAGAAAACCTCACTTAAAAAAGCACATTTTTCAAGCAGGATAAAAACATTTTAATAATAACTATTTGCACAAATAACCAACTGGCTCCTGAGGCACCTAAGGTATAATTAGAGTTAATATGCAAACCATAAATAAATACTCTAATATTTCCTTATTTTTAAGAAAATGTTCTAGAACATAGTAATCTATATTATGTTGGCTTCACCAATATCCAAAGCTTAATTACCAAGAAAATAAATTAGGCAAGTTTCTTTCCATCCTGACACTTATGTTCATGAAATATAAACTAAATTTTAAGAAATTATTAAATATATAGAATGTCTTATAGTCACAAAATAGTATATATATTCTGAGTCCTATAAATGATTACTCTTGTCCTATGCACAAACACATATTTATCATTATTTTGGGGAGGGGGCATGTGGGTGCATATGCACATGAGTACATGTGAATGTTGAGGATTCCTTAGGAGTCATCCTCCTTGTTTGTTGACACAGTCTCTCATTCACCTGAAGCTTGCTGGTAAGGCTAGACTGACTGACCAGTGAGCCCTAGGCATCTGCTTATCTCCACCTCTTCAGTGCTGATATTACAAGAGCGAGCCACCCACCTGGCTTTTTTACATGGATTCTGGGAATTGAATTCAGAACCTCTTATTTGCCCAGCAAGCACTTTACTAGCTATCACCACAATCTTTATTGTTTATTGCTTTAGGTAACTCTTTTACAACTCATAATTTCATATGTAAATATTTTACTATCAAAAAGAAAAAAAAAAACCACCACTGATAAGTCAGTAACTTGATAGCCCCAGATCTTCCAGAAACTATACCTTCAAGACACTCACAGCAAGTGTCATAAGACTATTATGCTGAAACCTGGCCAGCAAATACTTCTAATCTACAGTGAAGAATCTTTGAAGCAGACCTGTACAGGATGCAGAGAGGCAGAAACCTTGTCAAATACACAGTCTGCAAACCCTGACAATTGGCATGCCCAGCACTGGGAAGGACAGCCCAGGGGGTAGAGCCTGCAGTTAACTGGACTCCTACAGGACTGACAGAGGTGGGAATACTATCTGTGACTCAACACAAGGACTGCCACTGATGGAATGAGCATCTGTGACCTGACCTCCTTTATTCTTTTTCTTTCTCTATTCATTCCTATTTCATTTTCTTTTTAACAAGCTTCCTCAAAGAACAATGGCTAGCCTGGTTTGCAGGGTCTCCACATCTCAGCCTCCTGACAACTGAAATTCATATAGATTATCTGAGTGCATTTCTTTACCTCTCTTTCCATTCTACCTTGAACCCAAACAGTCTTATTTACACCCTATCCTTATCCTCTCCTTCTGTTTGTTTTTACCAATCCAGTATTAATCATTAGTCTTGCTCTACTTTTATTCTTTCCACTCATATCCACGGTAATTAACATCTTACTGTATACTGTACTATCAGTGCTCCTTTACTTCCTAAAATAAGTACATCTTTCTAAAAAAGAATTTTTTTGATCTTTTTGAAACAGGTTTCTCTGTAGCCCCAGCTGTCCTGGAACTCTGTATGTAGACCAGGCTGGCCTTGAACTCACAGAGATCCATCTGCCTCTGCCTCCCAAATGCTGGGATTAAAGGCGAGCACCACCACGGCAGGCTCACATCTTTCTAAAATTTTTGTGATCATACGCGAGTAGTCTTCGCACCATTTTCATCCCTCTAGTCTCCCTCCAACTCCTCTCAATGTTCCCCGCCCTTAATTTCCTGTCTTCTTCTTTATTACTGTTACATATACATTTATATGTATGTATTACATATACAAATGTACAATACACTGAGTCCACTCAATGATGCTCCTGTGTACCTTTGTTTAGGGCTGCCCCCTTGGAGTTAGATAATCTCTCAGAGAATCCCTGGAGAAAACTGATTATGTCAACTGGTTTTGTTATTATATACGGGTCTTGTAGACTACCATACTACAATTACATATTAAAGGATGGTTGTTATTTATTACTCTAAGTTAAAGGCCTTGCCTTTGATAGTGATTGTTTCTGCAGATAGTGTTCTACTTTCAGGGGAGTATTAGAGATTGGGTCCAGTGCCCTGAACATCAGCCTAAGAGAAAAATGAAGTTTCAACCTTTCTAAGATGTAGTTCCTCTTGAATACTGCAAGCACTTCCACTGAAAGAAAGGGAAGTTTTTAAAATATTTCATTTATTATTTTTATTTTGTATGTGTAAGTGTATTGCCTGTATGTATGCAAATGCAGCCATGTCATGCATTGCCCGAAGAGGTCTGAAAAGAGCATTGGATCCCCTGAAACTGGAGTTACAGATGGTTGTTAGTCACTATGTGGGTGCTAGGAACCGAGCCCAGGTCCTCTGCAAAAGCAGTCAGTGCTCTTAACCACTGAGCCATCTCTCCAGCCCCTGTTCTTGAAAATGCAACCAATAACATAACTACAGATATGAAAGTCTCAATGCAAAAACACAAGAAATGTGAAAAATCAAGAATTCTTTAAAAATTGCTAAGTCCACACTAATAGCCTCCAATGAGAGTGAATTAGACGAAATCCCAGGTAAAGAACTCTAAAGAATGATGAAAATATGTTCGAAGAAATCAAATGAATAAATTTCAAAAGAATAAAAACTGTTAAGCAAAACTGAAAAGATCAATACATGATATGAAAATGGAATTCAAAACAGACTTAAATACTGAAGAAAAACCCACTGAAATGATAAAAGCAAAACTTTTAAGAAGTCAAATTAAAAGCACAATTGAAAGTCATACCAAGAAAACAGATGATGGGGAGGACAAAGTATCAGAGTTGGAAGGCAAGGTAGAGAGTTAGAACAGTCAAGAACAAAGATAAAAAATGTATGAACAAAATGTGTGATCTTTGGGATGCTATGAAAAGACTAAATCTAAAAATTATGGGTATAACTCCAAGGAAGATTTATCTGGCATTATTTCTTGTTATGTAGCCTTCAGCTGTACACAAGGACTCATGTAGAGATATTATATGTATACTTTGTCAATAGATTTTTTTGGACTAATATAATTCCCTCTGGACTTTTATACACTAGCTAAGCATTGTTGGGCAGGGAAGTCCAAGAGACTCCCCAGATCACACAGGCTATTGCCACAGCCCTTGATTGCCTCCCAGAACTTGATGGCAAGACCCTATTGCTGAAGACAGGACACTTTGGACACAGGATTTGGAACAATGGAGCTGGAACTGACCTGGAAGCCACCTCCCCTGAAGGCTAGCTCTCATAGCTTTGGAGAGCACTATGCAGGCTGGTAAGGGAAAACAACAATCCATCGTCCAACCCAGCTTCAAGGCCTAATAACCACATCAATGACTGGCACAGCAAACAACACTGGTGCAGTACTGGCACTTTTATCTTGGGGGTAATCAACAGCTACCTAATTGGATTTAAAAGTCCACTCAAAGGTAGGAAACTCATGTGTGGTATTATAAACATAGCCAAATACACATGGCTAGAGAGGTCTCAGATTTTAGAGAAAACTCCAAAACTGTCACATTCCTAAACAAATGTAATTTCTTACTATGTTCAAAATATGAATCCTTATATTTACAGACAAGTATCCTAGTCACTACCGATCAAAGTCACTTCTTTTATAACAGACGGAGAAATTATTGAGTTCTACAACTGGTCACAGACATTGCCTGTGAATTTTCCAAGCCTAGGTGGCATATCTACAATGCAACCTCTACATTTAAGACTCAAAACACATAAAACAAGGGGTAAAGAGAACACTAATGCATCTCTCAATTCTCATCAGTGAAGCTCCCTCATCCAACAACAGAGGGCCAGGAACACAAAACAATCACAGATGACCAAAGCATAGAGAGTAAGAGTCTGCAGAGGGTGGGTCCTTGGATACACATGTATTAAACTTCACTCACCCAGGGCTTGGGGACCATTGCAGAAGAGGGGGCAGAAAGAACCAGGGAGGAGGTGCATGACCATATGAAAATAGAGTCCTACAAGCTCCTGGGACCATGCTCGTATCAATCTACAGCAATGGTGTCAGCATGCACAAGACCCATGCAAGCTCAAGTAGAAAAAAAACCCAGCACAGAACTGTGGGAATGGGCATCAGGTCCCAATCTTAGTTGATAAATTATTGGCAGACAATTTCTGCTGGGTGATGAAGAACTGATTGTCTTAACTGGAGGGACTCTAGATAGGCTGACTAGACCCCAGTGGATGAACTTGCAGCACTAGGGATGTTTGGAGATTCTAACTTGACAAGACAGGCCTTAACATAAATGACAGCATGTATGAATTCCCATGGGGAGACCATGGGAGGAGGTCAATGAGAAAGGGGACATAAAGATGATTAAGACTGATTAAGGTGTTTTGTATGAGCCAGGTGCGGTGGCACACACCTTTAATCCCAGCACTCGGGAGGCAGAGGCAGGAGAGGCGGATCTCTGTGAGTTCAAGGCCAGCCTGGTCTACATAGTGAGTTCCAGGACAGCTGGGGCTACAGAGAGACCCTGTCTCAAAAAGACTAAAAAATAAATAAATAAAGATGTTTTGTATGAAATACACAAAAATTCAATAAAATTTTTTTTTTAATTATGGGTATAGAAGTAGGAGAATTCCATGCTGAGGGCATGGATGGTATTTTTGACTAAATCATAGTAGAAACTTCCCCAAATCTGTGGAAAGAGATACCCATCCAGGAACAAGAAGCATACAGAACACCAAATACACAGGATCAAGGAAGAACCTCTCCATGTCTTCTTATGGTCAAAT